TCTGTTGTTGTTTGTTTGATTTTTTCCCCAAGCGGCAGGTGGAATAGATCACACCTTACACATATGGGAAAGATGGGGTAAAATAGGTATCATAGATAAATAAATATCTCCCTATAAATAGATATAAGGAGGGAGAATCAGGAGTTTGACTTAGAATACGTTTAATTTGAGATGCCTCTTAGACATCCAAGTGAATTGGTGAGGAAGCAAGAGGATATAATTAAATGTAATAGTTGCACCTACTTCATGGGATTAATCCAAAGAGCAAATAATACAATTTATTTTTAACTTACACAAGGTAAAAATTAATGTTAGTAAAGACCTTGAAAATAGTAAGTGCTTCAAAACATGCATTTCTTCATTGCTGCAATGAGAAAGGAGCTTAATCCTTCAATCACCTTAATCGTTTGCAAGAGTGGCAAACTGATGGCCCTCAGTTTGGATGCAGCCAGTAGGCACTTTTTTTTGAAGAAGGGGATGCTATTTTTAAAAATTGAATTTATGACCGGGGGCAGTGGCTCATGCCTGTAATCCCAGCACTTTGGGAGGCAGAGGCGGGCAGATCAATTGAGGTCAAGAGTTTGAGACCAGCCTGGCCAACGTGGTGAAACCCCATCTCTATTAAAAATACAAAAATTAGCCAGGTGTGGTGGCGCACACCTGTAATCCCAATGACTCGGGAGGCTGAGGCAGGAGAATCGCTTGAACCCAGGAGTTGGAGGTTGCAGTGAGCTGAGACGGCACCACTGCACTCCAGCCTGGGTGACAGTGAGACTCTGTCACAAAAAATAAAATGAAATAAAATAAAAATTGAATTTAAATGATTTTAGATAGGGTATGTACTTCCTAATTCATCACAGATCCCTCCCCTCCATATAATCTCACACCAGCTCTAAATCCTGTATTTATGTTGCCTGGCCCTTCATAATTTTGAATTTGCATCTACCCTTGATTCAAGGCAGCCCATCATTTTGCAGGGGAGGAATCTAAGGCCCAGAGAGGCTAGGTGCTGGGTCCAGGGCTGCTGAGGGCATGGAGTATCAGGGCAGGGAGGCAGGAAACTGAGGGTCCTCTCTCCTAGTCAACGCTCAATCTACGACTGCGAAAATGTTCAGAAGACAGAAAGTCTGCCCCCGCTGCAAGGGCTCCCTTGCTGATGCTAACACCAGTGGCCTGGCTTTGGGGAAGCTTTAATTGCTTGAGATTGCCAGATTGGCTGCCCCATCGCATGCATGCTTAGTGGTAGAAATAAAACCCAATCTGGTGTCAGGCTGAAGGTTAATTGAATATTTGATGCCTAGAGATGATGAAAGTAAAGATTCCCATTTTCTTGTTTCTTCCTCCAGACCTCTGGCACCAAAGGGAGATGTGGGCCCGACTTATTTAAGCAAAACCACCCATCTGGGAGGCTTCTTGTGAGGCGAGAAGAGGAGAGCCAAGCAGAAGAGGGGGGATTATAGATGACTTCATGGGGCCTAGAGCTGGGCGGGATCTTCTGCCAGAGAAGCCAAGAACTCAGGAGTTTGTCGCACCTTCTCTTGGCTGAAGACAGGTGGTTTTCCTGGTAACTTCTGGGGGAAGGAATTCATAAGCTGGAACCATAAATTTGTATTTATGGACAAGGACAAGGGGGCAACACAGAAGGCTTCCTAAGGGATGCAGCCTTAGAATAAAGTTTTCTATGTGAAGCTTCAGCTAAGAAGACCCCCAGAGCTTCCCTTGGATCCATTCCCTCTGTAGTCCCTACCCACCTGCCATGCTTTGCTCCAGCCACGTTAAACTTTATGCCATTAAGTGGGTCACACTCTCTCATTTCCAGGCTTATAGATGCTTTGCAGATGCCCTTATCATGTAGGTAGGACATGCTGCTGCTGCTGCTGCTTCTTCTCCTTCTCCTTCTTCCTCTTCCCCTTCCCCTTCCCCTTCCCCTTCTCCTTCTCCTTCTCCTTCTCCTTCTCCTTCCTTCTCCTTCTCCTCCTCCTCCTCCACCTCCTTCTCCTCCTCCTTCTTCTTTTCTTTTTCTTTCTTTCTTTCTTTTTTTTTTTTCTGAGACAGAGTCTCGCTCTGTCACCCAGGCTGGAGTGCAGTGGCGTGATCTCGGCTTACCACAATCTCCACCTCCCAGGTTCAGGTGATTCTCTTGCCTCAGCCTCCTGAATAGCTGAGGTTACAGGTGCCCACCACCACATCTGGCTAATTTTTGTATTTTTAGTAGAGGCAGGGTTTCACCATGTTGGCCAGGCTGGTCTTGAACTCCTGACCTCAAATGATCCACCCACCTCGGCCTCCCAAAGTGCTGGGATTACAAGCATGAGCCACCATGCCTGGCCGGGGCATTCTTCTTTTCCCCCCATCACCTGCCTACCTTCTCTTTCATGGTATTATAGAAGTCACTTCTTCCTGGGAGCCCTCCTGATTTCACTCAGGTGCCCTCGCCTGCCTGTCACTGCTCCTTTCACACTGCATTTACTTTCTTCCCCGCCTCACCTGCTAGGCATGCAGGGTGAGGACTGCCCTGCTTTTCTCACAACTGTATCTTCAATGCTAAGCCTGCTACTGGCACACAGTAGGTACACAGTAATTTTTTCCCTAGAGTTAAGAGAGACAACCCATTCCATTCTTTTTAATATGAATTTTATCACTGAAGAAACAACCATTAGAACCTTTCCAGCACATAAAATTATGCTTGCCTTATAGTAGACACTCAAACAATTTGTTTGGAATGAATGAATAAGCATCTTATTCCAGACTCTAGAAGTCAGAGAGAAACGAATGGGGGGAAGAGGATGAGGTCTATTTAATTCAATTTTAATTTTAACTTTTTTGTTAGAGACAGAGTCTTACTCTATTGCCCAGGCTGAAGTGCAGTGGTGTGATCATGGCTCACTGCAGCATGGAACTCCAGGGCTCAAGTAATCCTCTCACCTGAGCCTCCCAAGTAGCTGGGACTACAGGTGCCACCAAGCCTGGCTAGTTTTTTTAATTGTTTGTAAAGATGGGGGTCTCACTATGTTGCCTAGGCTGGTCTTGAACTCCTGGCCCTAAGTGATTCTCCTACCTCAGCCTCCCAAAATGTTGAGATTACAGGTGTGAGCCACTGTGCCCAGACGAGGATGAGCTTTATTGAGGAGTGAGGCAATGGGCAAGGAACGCGAAAAATCTGCCTCCAGCAGCCACAAAGCATTGATATTCCAAGACCCCCTTACAGGAGAGAAAAACCGAGGCCCAGAGAGGGGCGAGAACAGGTGAGCTCAGCCCAAAGTCATATGTGAAGGAGGTGGAATTCTTTCTTAGATTGGCCTGACCCCAAGTCCACAAGGGGTGGCTCTTCAAGCTGTGGAAGTCTCTGACTCCGCTGGAGAAGGAGGTTCTGGGACAACCTCTGGGGACACTTTTTTTTTTTTTGAGACAGGGTCTTACTTTGTCACCCGGGCTGGAGTGCAGTGGCATGATCACGGCTCACTGCAGCCTCAATTTCCCAGGCTCAAGAGATCCTCCCATCTCAGCCTCCCAAGTAGCTGGTACCACAGGCGTGTGCCACCACACCCAGCTAATTATTATTTTTTGAAGAGATAGGATACCCCTATGTTGTTGGGATTGGTGTCAAACTCTTGGTCTCAAGCAGTCCTCCTGCCTCAGCCTCCCAAAATGTTGGAGTTACAGTCATGAGCCACGGCACCTAGCCTAAGGACACTCTTGCTGCATCTAAGGAACAGCCTCAAAAGCCAGTCACTAATAATTTGAAAATAACGTCTCTTTCTCTTGCAAGGTTCCTCTGCAGAGCCAGACAACCCTGAGTGCTGCTTCCCCAGCCTGCTGGGTTTCAGCACTCTCTCCTCCCCCAACCACCCTCCCGTCTGCCACCTGGGTCTGCCGGGAACTCTGTATTCTGCTTGCTCCAGACACCACCATCTGTCTTTGTCCACTTCTCACCCCCATCTCACATGGGGCAGTGGAAAGAGCATGACTGAGAAGCCACAGAAGCCTGAATTTCAGCCCTGCTACTCGCTGGCTTTCTGGGTGGCCTCCCTGCATCTCGGCTGCCTTCTCAGACAGTGGGGTTAATGACCTCCCAGGCAGGGTTCTTTGTGAGAATGACCTAAGACAGAAATGTTTAGAGCAGTCGTTTTTGCATCTGGCCCAGATGCAACTGGTTCCCTGAGTAACTGCTTCCCTGCAAATGTCACCCTCATGGGGAGCTAGCGGGGAACATTCTGGATGGAGAATCTAATGGTTACCCCCTGTGAATATGAGAAACCCAGCCGCACAGCCAAGTAAGTCTGTTCATTAAAAACTTTTTTTTTTTCATTCAGCAATCATTTCCTGAACATCTACTGTGTATCAGGCTCTGTGTTAGACTGTGGAGACAGAGGGTAGTCAGCCCCAGCCCCAGCGGAGAGGACCTTCTGGTTTAGTTGAGGGAGACAAACAGGAAAATAAACAACTGTAGTCCTGTAAACGAGTGTTATAGTGCCCCCCTCTCCCTGGCCACACTGGCCATTTGGTCCTTTGAAAATGAGATGCTTGCCACAGGGCCTTTGCACATTCTGTTCATTTAGGATGCATCACTCCAACTCATCTTTTATTTCTGAGCTTTAGTATCAGAACCTTGGGGAAGACTTTTCTGACCTTCCTCTTTATATCAAATTCCGGTTATAGAATCTCATAGCACCATTCACCTCTCCTTACATCCCTTATTGAAGTTAGAGTGTACAATTATTTGTGTATGCCCTCATTTCATATTTGTTTCCTTAGACTGAATTTCCCAAAGATAGGGACTCTCTCTCTCTCTCTCTCTCTCTCTCTCTGTGTGTGTGTGTGTGTGTGTGTGTGTGCACTGCTGTTGTCGATCTCACTATGGGAATGCCTGTTCTCTGCACAGTCCCTGGCACATAGCAGATGCTTAGTTACTACTGGTTGAAAGAATAAAGCAGGAGCAATTTCTTTCCCAATCTCCCAAATTTTGCCAAATTAGAGGACTGCCCATTATAAACACTCACAACTGGATATCTAAGAAGATCCGTTTCTCTTCTCCCACGTGGATCTTCCAGATACAATCTTCACCTTCCACGTACGGCTCCGGCCAGTTTGGGGACAGCACCACCCCAGCCACAGCAGAGAGCTCACCACCGCACATGGCTGTAAAAGACAGACAGGCAAGAAGGCGGACTTTATTTGTAAAGAAGTCAGTGTGGCATAGCGGCTAACCATGTGGGCTATGAAGTCAGACAGCCGTGAATCTCTGTGTACTGTGGACAGGTGCCTTTACCTCAGGCAGCCAGCACGTGTGTGTGTGTGTGTGTGTGTGTAATGATTAAATAAGAGCTGGCCAGCTGCCTGCCCTGCAGCTGACAGTTGGTAAAAGTTGGGCTAAGGAGTGCTATTGCTCTTTCAAGACCAAGGATGGAGCTCAGTGGTCAGAATGACTCCTCAACAGCCTCTGTTCTTTTGCAGGGTAAGTAGTGGCTAAGAGACCGCTCACTCAAGTTAGGTGGTCCCAGGGTTCCAATCTTGTCTCTGCTGCTAACAGTCTGTAAGAGGAGGTATGTAATTTCCCAGAGCCTCAGCTCCCTTTCTCTATAAAATGGGGGCAATACCACTGCCAGCCTCATTGGGTGATTTTGAGGCTTAAGCTCATGAATGTCAAACATGCTGCACAGCGCCTGGCACATGGTAGCTGCTCGATAATTTAGATAATGTTGCTATGACAGGTCCCGGCCCTGAACCGGAAGCAGAGATGTGGCTGCGGCAGGTGCCCTTTAAATTCCACTCTGTGTTTACCGCTTTGGAAAGTTCTCAACATGGCAGAGGCCAAAGCACCAATAAATTCCGCTCTGTTAAACCGGCACATCTAATATAGGGATCAATTCCTCACCATGGCAAGGCTGTGATTTCACGCCAACTGCCATTGAGGCGGTGGCTGCCAAGAGTGAGGGCACCCTTCATTACTCCACGTGCTACCAGGAGACCCAGGCTCAGGGTGGCTCAGCGGCCTTGAATATGGGGAAATGGGCCGGGCGCGATGCTCATGCCTGTAATCCCAGCACTTTGGGAGGCCAAGGCAGGTGGATCACCTGAGGTCAGGAGTTCAAGACCAGCCTGGCTAATATGGTGAAACCCTGTCTCTACTAAAAATACAGAATTAGCCGGGCGTTGTGGCCCATGCCTGTAACCCCAGCTACTCAGGAGGCTGAGACAGGAGAATTGCTTGAACCCGGGAGGCAGAGGCTGCAGTGAGCCAAACGAGTCTCCATCTCAACAATGCCAAAAAGAATATGGGGAAACTGGCAGGACAGTCCACTGGAGCCTGTGTAGATGAGGGTTCTCTGCAGCCAACACTGTCCAGTGGGGCTCAGAGCACAGTACTCTGAGAGCAGAGAGACCTGAGTTCCATTCCTGTCCCTGCCAATTCCCCTCAGTGTGTTCTTAAACAGGTCACTTCATAGCATTAGTTTTCTCACCTGCAAATAGGGCTGATAGAATCTACTTTATAAGGCTATGGTGAGGTTGAAATCAGATAATGCACATACACCCTTAGCAAAGCACTGGTAGCATAATTATTACACACCAATTAAGAACTATTATTATTCTTATTAATGAGATTCAGGGCTGCCCTGGGTTGTTGCATGGCTTGTGCACTGCACAAGCATGCATAGCAGAGGGAGTATTTACGAGCTGAAATCCATGCAGTATTCAGCTCACCAAGCTGTGCACTATGGGACCTATGCCCGGAGGAAGGCGCACCTTTTAAAATTTACCCATTTTGTAATTTTCTCAAGACCTGCACCAACCCTGAACCAAAGGACAGTGAACCTTGGAAAGGGTTCTAATCCTAAAATTGGTATGAAAACCGGGGACAGGCCTCTAAGTTGGGGCCTTGGTCTTCTCATCCGAAGGGTGGAGGTCCCTGGGGTGTCGTGGGAAGAGTGTCGTGGGTCCGCTCACCTCTGCAGAGGGGCTCCGTGTCATTCCAGTATGGGTCCCGCACATTGATGCATTCGATGATGGCCGGGCCCTGCTCCAGGGAGTGGCCGGGGTCGCAGGTGAACTCCACTATAGTCCCAATGTTGTAGGTCGGGTCGGATGTAGTGAAGTTCCCATTCTGGATGTAGGGCTCGTAGCAGTGGCCTTTCTCAAACGCTGAGGAAGGGAAACAAAGAGAGGCAGGAGTTCAGATGAGGCAGGGACTACCCCATGGTGCTGTATTTCAGAAGATGGGTCTCCTGTGCTGTTTAGAAAAGCCCCAAAGAAAACAAGTACCAAATCACATGTCCTGGTTCCAGACGATGTGCTGAGAACCCTGGGGCCACCCAGTTGACTCCTTGGGGCCTCATTTAAACAAATCTAAAATAGGAATAAGAATCTCTGTCTTCTCCACCCTGTGGAGTTGTTGTGTTTTAATACCTTTCCACGTCCTATTCCACAGAAGGATCTTCAGAGCCCTGATTTTTTTTGCCACTGGAAACTGTAGGGTTGTCTATGATAAAAACCAACTTTTCTTGGCAAAGCCAGAACAGAAGGTCCTCCAACATACATGAAATGCCCAGCGAATCCCTTCTTCAAGAGTCAGGGTCTCAGCAGGAGGGGCTCTTGCTAAATTCTTCTTGGAAGAAGAAGTGGCTGAATTATAAGAGGTCTACTAGGTGGAGTGGAGCAGAGCTTAAGGGCTCCCCAGTACAGGATGGACAGAGATCTTAACTCCATCCTTGTTCACTGGTGGTCTTGGGCAGGTCACCCAAGTTTCTTAAACCTCAGTTTCCTCACCGAAAATCAGATAGAATAACAGTTCTAATGTTTCAGTGTGATGAGGATCAAACATGATGCAGAAGCTGAAATCCAAGGAGACAATGCACAGAAGGCACTGAGCACGTAGTAAGTGCACAGCTAATGGTAGGCATTATTATTAACGAAACCAAGAGCCTGTCTTTGGAAACCAAAGGATCCACATGGCCACGGGATTTCCCACATCCTTCGCAGCCCAGATTTCTATCTCCCCATGCTTTCCCTGCTCCCAGGCTACTCCCAGCCCCACACGAGAAGGGGAAGCCCCCAGGGACCCTCACCCTCAAATCGGATGTTGAAGGTGGAGGCTGCTCGGGCCTGGTCGGACGTGAACTCGATACGGATGGTGTCGCCCTCGCTCAGCAGGCCCTCAAAAGGGACACTCTCGGTTTGAAGGGAGTCGTAGAGAAGAGCTGACTTGTTGGTCTGCCCGCTGTGAACCGTCATCCTGGTAGTGGGAGCAGAGAGACAGAGGGACACTGACAGATTTTCCTGGGTCACTGACATGGCAGAGGAAGGGGTGTGCTATGATTGCCACCTCTGGAGCCTCATTACCTGATCCCAAACCTAACTCTGCCTCTTTTTTTCTTTTCTTTCTTTTTGATGGAGTTTCACTCTTGTTGCCCAGCCTGGAGTTCAATGGTGCGATCTTGGCTCACTGCAACCTCTGCCTCCCACGTTCAAGCGATTCTCCTGTCTCAGCCTCCCGAGTAGCTGGGATTACAGATGTGCCCCACCATACCCAGCAAATTTTTGTATTTTTAGTAGAGACAGGGTTTCACCATGTTGGCCAGGCTGGTCTCGAACTTCTGACCTCAGGTGATCCACCTGCTTTAGCCTCCCAAAGTGCTTACAGGCGTGAGCCACCGTGCCCAGTCCTGACTTTGCCTCTTATGTGCTCAGACAAGTGTCATCTTATCAAACCCGTTTCCTCTTCTGTACAATGGGACTAAATGCATGTCCTGGCTTCCTTATGATTTATTCTGAGGTTGTAGGGAGAGTAATGTATATGATGTAATAAACCAAACGATGAACTAATGAATTGATGTTGACTATTATTATTAATTGAGAAGTTGGAATTAATGGACTAATCTCATTGCCGAAAGGGTGGCTTATGTAGTCAGGCAGACCTGGGTGTGACTCCTGACTCCGTCACTTCTGACCTGTGTCACTTTGCACAAGAACACTTCACCTCTCTGAGTCTCTGTTTTCTCATCTGTAAAATGGGTACAATTGCACCTATATCAGAGTGTGGGGCGCAGTGGCTGATGTCTATAATCCCAGCACTTTGGTAGGCCAAGGTGGGTGGATCATGTGAGGTCAGGAGTTAGATACCAGCCTGGCCAACATCATGACACTCCGTCTCTACTAAAAATACAAAAATTAGTCAGGTATGGTGGCGTGTGCCTGTAGTCCCTGCTACTCTGGAGGCTGAGGCAGGAGAATCGCTTGAACCTGGAAGCCAGAGATCACAGTGAGCTGAGATTGAGCCACTGCACTCCAGCTTGGGTGACAGAGCAAAAAAAAAAAAAAAAAAAAAAAAAAAAAAAAAAAAAAAATTCACAGGGCACAGTAGGTAAGTTTTCTTTATTAAGCATTTGACCCCCGCCAGGCTCTGTCTCTGATCCCCATTTTCTAAGAGCACTGTGTGGGAAGTCAGGAGTCATAATTCTCGTTTCCCAATTCCCCATCTGGATTAACATTAAGTCTTAAAACATCTTTCAGCCTCAGTGTCCTCAACTGTGAAAGGAGGGACCTGACCATAGTGTCGTTCTGACCTATCTTACAGGTGGGCTTTGAGAATATTTCAAAATAAAAAGTGCCCTGAAAAATAAAATGTGTTAAACAAAATGTTGGGTATTTATTTTTATTGTTATTAAAGCTATTTGAACTTGACTCCTTGCCAGCCTTGGTTTTTTAAAGAAATTATGCAAAAGTGGTGAAGAAAACAGTATACAAATTAGGTAAGTTTCTTTTATGGAGTCATAAACACACATTTCTAAGCCTTTGAGGTTTTTACTGACTCATAAAAATAGTTTATTTTATGTTGCCCAGATGAATTTCTCATGTCACTAAGATGTATAAATGTTGGAGCCATAGTTGGTTTCTTTCGCTATATGTCCAGTATGGCTGAGGCAAGGATGGGAGCTGTGGTGAAGTCCAGGGGGCATCCCAGGAGTGGGAAGGGGCATCGACATAGTCTTCTGATTCCTGATGACTCTGTGGTATCTTAGGGACTGTGTGTTGGGACACCTCTTTCAAAGAACAGGAGCCTTTGGCAAAGAGGGTTTCTCTGGAGGAAAGCTTCAAGATCTCAAAATCTCTATAGACTATTAATCTTTTAAAACCAGCAATTTTCTAACCATATTTTCTAGAATGTCTGCGTTACTAATGTATTTTCTCTCAAATTCTTATGTAGTCTATGGTCAAATGGATTTGCAAAATGCTGAATTAAATAAAAATTAAATTTTTTTCTTCCTGCGGGTCTTAACAATACCTTTGTTAGCTAGTACATATTAGGACCTTTCAAGGCAAGGATAGGGTGGGCACAGTGTCTTCCAAACATGCTTGACTATAGAACTCACTTTTTATGGGGCATGTTATGAGATGAGTTTAGAAAGAGCTCATTTGGAGGAAAATCATCTTAAAATCTTTATTCATGTCCCTCCTCTACTAAAAAGCCTTCCATGGCTCTCTATTGCCCGTAAAAGTAGCCTGGCATTCAAAGTCCTTGAGGATATAACCCCAGTCTACATTCCCAGCTCTCTTTCCTCCTGTTCCCGTGAGAACTTCTGCTGCAGCTCCCCAACAAATTTACTAATTCTTTCCTCTACATCTTCGTGCTCATCCCCCAATTCTCCATGCCTGGAATACTCCTCCTTCTGTATTTTTTGTATCTATTATCCAATCTCCTTCCATTTTGACTTTAGGTCAAAGTCTTATTTCTTTTGTAGAGTCCTATCTAGGTCTGAGTTCTTGCAACTGACATATTGCGGTATTTTAGCCATTTCCCCTCAATAAAGTACACGGGACAGACATAATTGATTTCTCTTTTCTTCTTGGCCCAGAGAGTAGTGTCTTCATCGTTTTTTTGTGTGTGTTGACCTTAAACCTTGATGAACTCTACAAACTTCTCTTCCTACTGATACACTTGAAAGCTGGTTTTTTTTCCTGGTGTGTGTCAGCTCATACAGATCTTTGCAGGACCCCAGAGAAACTGCTAGTGACCAGTACCAGTGGGGGGCCCACTTGTCAGGATTTAAACAACTTGCAAAAAATACTCATTTTGATGCATTCTTTTGTCTCTGCTAATTCTTGTTGTCTAGTATAAACTTAAGCTTGGCTCATCTCAAGCACCCCTCAGAAGAGGCAGATCTGAGGTCTAAGATTTGGAAATGGTCCTTCACCAAGGGTTCCCATGCCTGGATTTTCAGAGTCTCCAGAAGAAAGGATAGGGAATCTTATTTTTAAAGAGTTCCCCAGGTTATTATTCTGGTGCTGCTGAAAAACCATGTTTAGGAGCCCATGCTTGATACCTTACACTTTAAAGAAGCAATTTATCGATATACAGTTGTTCTGGATAAAGCTGAACTGCCTAGACGGAAGTGGACTCAAGAGGCATGGGAAAATTATTCAGTTGTCTTTTTGTTTTTTTTAAAAAAGTCTTTCCAACCTAAAGACCTGATAGTCTAGGTTTGACCCATCAAAGAAGCCAAAACACTAGAATTCTTAGATCAAAAATTCTAAGGTGGGGGCATTCTGGAAGTGCAATAAACACTGCTAGTGCCCTACCCTCTCCTACCCCTCAGGAGTCAACTGCTCCCACATTTTCTGCTGGCCTCCAACCACAAATCTCTGAGAATCAGTCAACTCAACCAGCTCAAAGGGTGGCAGCTGATGTTGGGGATAGTTAGTGCTCCTCATCGCATCTCTCATCCAGTGATTAATGGGAGCTGGTGCATAAATACCCCAGCTCCCTCACTCTTCCAACAGGTCCACTCTGAGGTATGCTCAACACAGTTGCCCAGAGGTCTCCAGTGGACAGAATCCCAATTTTCCCAGCAGTCACCTGATTATTAGTGCAACTAGTATTCACAATCTCACTTTCCCATGCACCTCCTAGTGCTTAGTAGGATCAGCTCCCCAGTAAACTACTTCCTCTCACATCCTTATCACCATGTTTGATTCCAAGGAAACCCAATTCACGACAGCAAGTCAAAACAGCTAAAGTCCTAGTTTTCTAGACTATCTTAGAATAAGATCGCAGAATAATCCAGAATATTCTAGAACAAGACCCCATAATATTCTAGAATAAGACCCCAGAATATCCCAGAATAAGATCCCAGAATATTTCAGAACATTCTGAAATAAGACCCCAGAATTTCTAGAATAAGATCCCCAAATATTTTAGAATAAGATCCCAGAATACTAAAGTTGTATAATGCTGGATTCTGTGCATATTATTAAGAGTCTATAGACACACTCTTGCTTAGATACTGCCTGGTAACTTCTCTCTAGTTCTTTCATGTGCATACGTCTAGTTTTTCCTTCTCAATTTCCTATCATGCCAGAAACTAATATTTTCTACTTCTTTCCTATTCTCCATGGAGCCTAATATATGGCTGGGTACTGAGCAGATGATCAATACGTACTCCCTTTTTGTTCAACTGCATAAAGGGGTGTGCAAGAGAAAGACTAGGGCAGTTCCCTTTTTGCCTCTTCCCCTAGCCTGCTGTATGAGCTGGGACAGGTCCCTTTCCTTCTGCATGCCCCGGTTTCCTTATCTGTAAAAGGAAGAGATTGAAGCTGATGGTGTCTAAGATAATTGCCATCCACCCCAGCTCTTCTTTTCTTGAATTCCATGAGTCAAAACTTCAGCCATTTCAAGACTCCAAGTCCCCAAGTCATGTTCTAATATTCTGGGAGGAAACGGAGTTGGGTGTGGACCTTCAGAGCTTTACCTGTCCTTGTCATGCAGCGACAGCCTCTCAAAGTGCAGGTGCAGCTTCTGGCCCTCTGGAGCTTCAATCGTCCAGACGCAGAATTGGCTCCCATTGGTGTTTCCAGGGTAGCTTGGGGAGAGGACGCGGCCGATGGTGGCATTGTGCACTGTCCCTCCACAAGGAGCTGGATCCAGAAAGTGGTGGGTGGGCAATGTGAGAGAGCAGAGAAGGAGAGAGAGAGGAGAGAGACAGAGAGAGAAATGAGAGAGAGAGAGAGAGAAGGAAGTGAGTGTTTCACTCTCCCCTGATGCCCACTGCTGCCCCTTGCCTAGGGTGAAACATCAGAGACCTGGAGCGGGAGGAAACAGGGCACAGAGAGAAAGCTTGGAAGGGAATTGTCCTCCTGGGAGGAGATCCTCCTGTTTGACAGGAGAGTTCACTCTACAATTGGAACCATCAACATGTGTATTTCATGGTAGGGAATGACTGCTATTTAATGACAGTTCTATGGTGCTGGCTGTGCCCTGACTTTTAATCACAAAATGGCAATCAAGAAGGATATAAACAGGCAGTTCACAAAAGAAGAAATATATTTCTAGTACTCAGTAAGCACGAAAAAATTCAGCCTCACTAATAAAAAATGAAATGCAAATCTAAACTGTATTCTACTTTCATCCACCTAATTGACCAAGATAAAAAGCAGCCATAAAATCTGGAGATGGTAAGGGTGATGGGAAAGGCTCACTCTCATCATAACTGGTTAGAATGCAAACTGTTATGACCTTTCAGGATGGTGATTTAGTGAAAAGCCTAGAAAACATGCTCAAACACTTTGACCTGGCAAATATGGTTCTGGATAATTATAATAAGAAAAGATTTACGGATTTGCACCAAGAGTTAGGAATGAGGATATCTTGTTTCTAAGAATGAAAAATAACAACAACAACAAAAAAACAAGATGAATGTCCACTCACAGATGTTTAGTGAAATACATCATGTGCCACATAACAGTATTTCAATTTACAACAGAGCGCATATATGACAGTGGTCCTGTAAGATTTTAATATTATATTTTTATTGTATCTTTTCTATGTTTAGATAAACAAATACCATTGTGTTACAAAGTATTCAGCATAGTAACATGCTGTACAGGTTAGTAACTGAGAAGCAATAGGCTGTACCATATAGCCTAGGTGTGTAGTAGGCTATACCATCAAGGTTCATGTACATACACTCTATGATGTTGACGCAATGATGACGTCACCTGGAGATGCATTTCCTAGAACACATCCCCATCGTTAAGTAATGCATAACTGTAAATACACTCCAGCCATTCAGAAATTAAATAACATGTTCTCAAAGAATACTTCAGCATACATATAGGAAGATGCTGCTTTTTAAGTGAAAAAAAAAATGGTTAGAAAATAGTGTGCCATACCTATTTTAATGAGCTATTTGCAAGGATCTATTGAGACCATAAATATAAAAGTGATTTGTTCCTATTTCTTACGCTTCACTATTTCTTGAAAAATTTCTTACCAGAATCATCTATTACTTTTATCATAAAAATCTAATAAAAATATTAAAAAGTGATGTGTGCACTGGAAAGAACACTTTCCAGTTCACAAGCAAGAAGGTGTTCTTATTTGTACTCTAATTCTTAGGAAATATTTGGTTCTGAGGAAATTGTTTTCTCATGTACTATTTGGGAGAGCAGTTTTGAATTTTCTTTTCTCTTTTTTTGAGACTTTTCTTTTCTTTTCTTTTCTTTTTTTTGAAACAAAGTCCTGCTCTGTCGCTGAGGCTGGAGTGCAGTGGCATGATCTCGGCTCACAGCAACCTCCGCCTCCCGGGTTCAAGCGATTCTCCTGCCTCAGCCTCCTGAGTAGCTGGGATTACAGGTGCCCACCACCACGCCTGGCTAATTTTTGTATTTTCAGTAGAGATGGGGTTTCACCATCTTGGCCAGGCTGGTCTCAAACCCTTGACCTCGTAATCCACCTGCCTTGGCCTCCCAAAATGCCAGGATTACAGGCGTAAGCCACTGCACTCGGCCAGTTTTGAATTTTCTAAGGAGAGCTGGTGGGCAGCAGACACCTCTCACCGACTGTCACAGGCAGTCCAGGAGGAAGGGATGTGAAGTATAGCCCAGGGTTATGATTGGGTAAAGTCCTACACCAAGACCAGGGTTTCATTGGGAGCCATTTCTATCTTTTAGGAGGATCAAAGGAGCTTGAAAAATATTTCCTTCCCAAGCACAGAACCCTTGGTTGCCCCTTCCTTTTCAGAGAAATAGGAGAGGAAGCAAAAGTGGGACAGGTTATTTGGAACCATCTCACAGATGGCTAAGGTGTTTGTAGGTTCCACAAAAGCTGGGACACTTTTTGTTTGCTTGCTTTCATCATACTACCAGCAACCAGAAGAGCTCCTGGTATGTAGAATGTGGTCAGTAAATATTTATTGTGTAACAACCATTAATTTTGCAAAATAGGAAAAAAGAAGTTCAAGGTGTTACGCCACTTCCTCAAGGACATACACATAATAAGTGGAGCAGTTGAGATTCAAGCTCAGGCTGCCTCACTCCAGTATCTCTTACTGAAGTCGTTACTCCACTGTCTGTCTTATTTATGATAACCCGTTAATCCAGAAAGGTACATGGAATATAGTGGGTGCTTTATAAAATGTTTCTTGAATGAAAGAACGAATATTTTTTCCTTTTTGTATCTCTAGTATCAGCTCAAAGCTTGATACATAGCAGGTACCCATTAAATGTTTGTTGAATGATAGTATGACTGAATGGGGCTTGTGGTAGCAGAGAAGGGTGGATAACTCTTCTGTCCGCTCCAGACTGTGTTGTGACCTACAGCAAAGACATTGCCAAGAAGCTCCATACTTCTTTCAGGACCACAGACAGAAAACTAGATTCATTTCTCTCTCCAGGCTGCCCTTCTGTCCTAGAGGAGAGGTTGTCCTGTGAAATAAGCCAGCCCTAGGTTCAAACCTTGCCAGTTAGCTGCTGTGGATCTAAGACAAGTCACTTGAGTTTACCCACTGTAAAATGGTGATAAGTCCACCCTCCTTATAGGACAGTAGTGAGAAATCAATGAAATGATGGGTACGGAGAGCTTAGTGCCATTCCTGGCACAGAGTGGGCACTCAAAGCATAGCCAGCTCTATTGCCCTGTGGTTCAGGAGCTGAGTGATGGAGGACACTGTCCCTGGTGGGGGGCTCTGGCCATCTGTCCTCCCAAGCCGTTGATCGTTTGCAGCTTCTCTGCTTCCCTTCTTTGCCTGATTAAGCCGACTGATGGCTCTGTTTGGCTTCAATTTGCCAGCCGTGCCTTCCCATCCATCTTTCTTAGTACAAATTGAAGCTTAATTCCTCCCTGATTTCACACATAGATAAAAATTAATGTGAGAGAGGCGTGGAAACCAACTGCCCTATGGTTTGGATTTTTATCTTTGTTTAAAAAAAAGAAAGAAAAATTCTGGAGGGCCTTGGGGGAACAATACTGTAACAATTAAATCTCGGAATTCATCATTAACTCTCATTTGCTTTTTGAGCTCCACTTGGCTATGAATAACTGCAGGGTGGGAATTATGTTTTATTATTTCCAATATTGTCTTCACACACGGCTCCTAGCCTGGCACATAGTAGGTGGCAGGGCAACCTATGCTGTCTCAACCACCATCAGGACTTTCGAGAATTCTGAAAGGGTTTTGTTCTCTTGAGAGCTGAAGATGACCAAGGTTGTGCCTACTGGTGCAGGGATAGTGTGGTACAGACCAGTGCTTCTCCAGGTGTAATGTGCACATGAGTCACCCAAGGGACATGTTAAAGTGAACATTTTGATTCATTTGGTTTTGCATGGAGCTCAGGATTATGCATTTCTAATAATTTTGCTAGTCTGAGGAGCACACTTTGAGTAAGGAAGCTGTAAGGCAAAGAGCTCAGGAGAGAAGGGTTCTGGACTAAGTTCTGCCACTTCAAGTATGTTACTTCATCTCTCTAAGCCTCATTCTCTTTTCCTATGAAAGTGGTAATCTTATCTCCCTGAGTTCAAGTGAAATAGTAGATATTGTCCATCTTGATTTCCATGGATGCACTCTGACCACCCTCAATCATTTTTGCCAAATAGAAGTCAGAATGATCACCCTTATGCTTACATTTTTCCAGATATCTCCTGCCTAGTCCACCTGTCTTCTCAAGACCTTGAGCAGTACAGTTTCTGACCACTGCCCCAGCCTCCTGTCCTGATATTTTCTCTGCACTTTAGCCAGATTGATCTTATGTATTTATTTGCTCTCTCAAACTCATTGAGTTCCTTCCCACCTCTGAACCTTAGCATATGCTAGTGCATCTGCCTGGAATGATTCCTCCCCCTCACCATTTTCCACCCTCGGTCTATTTCCTACTCAACTTCCAAATCTTGGAGTGTCATCAGGTAATCCTTCCTTGACCCTTCGCTCATCACTGTCCTCCTCCCAGGTGAGGTCCTCTATCACATCTTCTTCCTGCACACGTTTTCTCCATTGCAACGCCTCTCACAATCACTGGTGTCTTCTCTGTCCTCACTCGGCATCATTCCACCCTGTGAATTTCTTTCCTGGTCCTTAACACAATCTGTTACCAGCATGTTTGCATCCTTATTTACTCGTTTACACACTACAGCCTCACCTTGACTAGAAACTCTGTGACAGCAGGAACTGGGTCAGGGTTCCTGCAATAGCTCTAGCAACAGGTGCAATGCCTACCACACAGTGAGTGCTCAATGGATGTTTGTTGAATGAGTACATAGATAGGAAAGCCTCTGAATGACAAACAATGCCCAACAGGTGCTTAAAATTCCATCTGTCCTTGAAGTCTCAGATTCTATCAGCTGGCTCAGCAGGCCTACTTCTCTTTACTAGAGGGCATCAGACTGCCTCAGCAGCCTATCTTCAACAATTTCTGGGCTGGGCGTGGTGGCTCACGCCTGTAATCCCAGCACTTTGGGAGGCCGAGGTGGGTGGATCACGAGGTCAGGAGATCGAGAGCCCCCTGGCTAACACAGTGAAACCCCATCTCTAGTAAAAATACAAAAAATTAGCCGGGCGTGGTGGGTGCCTGTAGTCCCACCTTCTCGGGAGGCAGGAGAATGGCGTGAACCCGGGAGGCGGAGCTTGCAGTGAGCGGAGATCATGCCACTGCACTGCAGCCTGGGCTACAGAGAGAGACTCCATCTCAAAAAAAAAAAAAAAAAAAAAAAAAAACCACCACCACAACAAACAAACAAACAAAATTTCTGTGTGGTGACTGAGTAAGTGACTTCATCTCCATGAGCCTCATCTGTAAAATGGGGATAATGGCTCCCATCCTATGGGATTGCTGTGAGGATTAAATGCAGCTGCTGGCATGGTGCACAACACACATTGGCTGGGCTTGAAAAATGGCAGTAGTTACACTCAAAGCACACGAAAGAAAAGAAAAAAATTATTTAATTTTTTAATGTAAAAGCTTTGTGCATCAAATAACACTGTTAAGAAATGAAAAGACAACCCATGAAATGGGAGAAAATATTTGCAAACCACTGATAAGAGTCTAGTGATCAGAATATATAATGAATGCTTACAACTCAACAACAAAAAGACAAACAACCCGATAAAAAATGGACAAAGGACTTGACAAGACATTTCCCCCAAGAAGATCTACAAATGGCCAACACACACGTGAAAAGATGCTTGATGTCATTAATCATCAGGGAAATGGAAATTAACACCATGAGATCCCTTCATACCCATAAGGATGGCTATAATAAAAACAATGACGTGGAAAATAACATGTGTGGGCAAGGATGTGGAGAAACTGGTACCCTCACGTTGCTGGGGGGAAGTAAAATGGTGCAGCTGCTGTGGAAAATCATTTGATGGTTCCTCAAAAAGTAATCCATACAATGACCATAAGACCCAGCAATCCCACTCTCAAGTATATATCTAAGAGAAATGAAAACCATATGCACACAAAAAACTTGCGTACAAGTATTCATAGCAGCATTGTTCCTAATAGCTGAAAAGTAGAAACAACTCAAATGTCTACTAATGAATAAACAGATCGACAAAATGTGGCACATCCATACAATGGAATATTATTCAGCCATAAAAAGAAATGAAGTACTGATACATGCTACAACATGCATGAACCTTGAAAACACAGTGCTAAGTGCTAAGTGAAAGAAGTCAGACATAAAAGTCACATATTATATGATTCCATTTACATAAACTACCCACAGTAGATAAACCCACGGAGACAGAATGCAGATGGATGGTTGCCGGGGAGTGTGGGGAGGAAGGAGGGGTGGGGAGTGACTGCTTTCAGTACAGTGTTTCCATTTGGGGCGTTAAAGATGTTTCAGAGCTAGATAGTAGTGATGGTTGCACAGTAGTGTGAACATACTAAAATGTCTCCAGTGTTAAATTTCATATTGTGTGTATTTTGCTCCAATACAAAAAACTAAATAAATAGCAATAGTCATCTATATTTGGAGCAGTTTCTTCCCCTTGGCTGAAAGCCATTTCCTGAGGTCACTCTTGATGTTCTACAGGTCGGTCTTTCCCCTCTTAGCTGGACCATCAGGTTTGGTCCGGCTGAGACTGGAGCATACCTGAGCAGATGGGCTCCTGGCTGCTCCAGTGCGGCTTGGTGGCATTGATGCACGTCAGCATCTTAGCGCCCTGGAGCTCATAGCCCAGGTGGCAGTGGAAGTGGGCCACCCCACCTGAGTGCAGGTCCATCACCGTGACATCCCCAGAGTCAGGCCGGCGGGGAAAGTTGCAGCTCAGCATGAAGGCTGGGGAGAAATGCAGAGGCAGACTCAGTCACTACTCGGAGCGGGAGATCAAGAACCTGACCCACATCCCGGGAGCCAATTTGTGCTGGGGAGAGAAGATGAGGCCCCTGGGGACTCCAGAGCTCCAGAGAACGCTATTTTTGTGACTCTCTTTGATCATATCGTGCTGAAGCTGCCAGGTTAGCACTTTCTTGGGGCTTAAAAATTGCCACCTTGCCTAACCAGAGACAGCGGGTTTGGGATGAAAAACGAGTTTCCATACCTCCTTTGAGCCTATCTCTATCTACGTGGACACAAAATGGCCTTCTCTCTGGGACTGGGAGGGGCAAGACCACCTAGGAAGTTTAGTCCTGCCTGCATGCACATCTTGGGTGCTTGTTAAAAATGCAGATGCTTGAACCAGGTCTTTGGGAAATGCCCAAGGATATGAAAGCTTGAGAACTACTGGCCTGTGAGACAAGAGCCTGGGCTTTGGAGGGAAAACCAATGTTAGTTTACATTCTTACTCTATCAATTACAAACGATGTCACCTTGAGACAAGGACTCAGTGCCTCCACCTTACAGGTGGTGGAGGGGATTAAATGAGATAACACAGAGAAAAAGCCTCCTTCGAAGTCAGTAGATGGGGGTAGTAAAAGGGTACATGGGGCCATATTGAATTCCTCAGTTTTCACAAGAGGATGTCAAATTCATCCTAGCTTCTTCACCCTAGACCATAGTCTGATCTCTCCTGCAGCATAGAATATCTGTATTCTCAGTACTGATTAGGAGGAGTACATTCCCGTTCACAATTCAAATTCCTTTTTGTTGTTGCTTTTAAATTCACAACGACAGCAAAGGGAAGTATCCATATTGAAAGGCTGTGATGAAGTGGACACTCCCCTATACAGTCATCCACCTGTTTCAGAAACAGGTGAGAGAAAAGTTGAAAATGAGTTATTGTTTTCAAATGTCTGGACGATTTGATACAAAACATGATGACTCTCAATATCTGGTTGCATGGTTCACGAATCCACTTTCCATTCAGATATTTCAGCAGTTGGTAAGTATCCAAGGGAAAGTTCCTGGGTGAGGCAAAGGAGACCTGAGGTCATGGGAACTGCGCAGGAGGAAATGGGGTGGAGGGAGAGGGGAAGAAAAGAGGAAGAAAAAGGGGGACTAGGAAAGGAGAGAGAGAGAGAGAGAGAAGGGAGGGAAAATAGAGGGTGGAAAGGAAGAGAAAGAGTGGAGGAAATGAAGAAACACACAAGAAAAGAGGGAGGAGAAAAGAAGGAAGGAGAAAGGAAATAAGAGAAGAGAGGAATGAACAGAGAGGAAAACAGAGGAGACTTAGGAACAGACCAAAAGGAAAAACAATAGAGGAAGAAGAAAAGAGAGAAGGATCCTGTTAAGGCTCTTTATCAGGAGTCTGTGGAGGCACAGGGGATCTACGTATTGAACTCAGGGCCTGCCAATTTGAATGAAGGAAAGTTACTTGCTTATTTTCATTAGCCTCTACCTTAGCTGTGCTATTTCCTGACAACAAACTGCAACATTGTAGTAGAACCTGTGACTTTGACACCAAGAGAAACCACAGATATTTTTCACATCATAATGGATATCTCAACATATTTCTTATGCTCCTTAGTACTTTGAAATGTCAACAATTATAAGAACTACTAGAAGATATTGTTTAATGAATTAATAAAAAGCACATAGATTAAGGCATCATAGATTATAACAGTATTTTGATAACTGCGATTCAGTAATACTGTTTTCTTTAAACTTGTATATATTTTATTTTATACTTTAAAAAACATTATTGTGAGAAGGGGTTTGTGGGTTTTACCAAACTGTCAGAGAGGCCCCTGAAACAAAAAGTTGTAAAATCCTTTTCTCCAGAGGGAAACTGAGGCTCATCAGCCTTGGCCTGATCCTACCCTGGTAGTGTAGCTGGAAGGTCCCAAGACCGTCGTCCTGGAAGGTCCGGAAGTAGACGGAGATGGTGTTGGTGGGGCTTCGGATTACCTGACCCTCCACCAGGAGTGTCTGGTTGGCCAGGACGGTCAGGGTAGGGCCATCCACCCCGCGGATGGACAGCAGTTCCCCCTCGGACAGGTTCACACTCTTCACCTGGGAACAGGCAGAAGCAGACAGAGAGAAACTCTGAGTTGTGTTTGAGACAGAGCCCTCTGAGGTTGCAAAGATGTCACTGAAAAGTGGCCCAGGCACTGATAGCCCCTGGTCAGTGGGACCGCTGGGCCCCATAGCCAGCCCACAGGAGCCCTGGGAACATCAAGATCCCTCTAATTTCCCCCGAATCCAAGGGGATAGAGTGAAACCAAAGTGCAAGTCCCTTGCAATGTGAGGCCCCCATTGCTATGTCCTGTAAGAGGGGTCTTTGGCAGAGGCCCTGGATGCTAGCGGGTGGGATACATTGTCCTGGAGCTGGTAAGTGGAGGCAGCATTTGGATCAGCTTGTGCTTGAGGTCCAATCTCCAGGGAGCCGGGAGAGGCATTCCACCAGAATGTATACTCTCCAAGGATAGGGATTTCTCCATGCTGTTCCACGTTTCCAGTGCCTAGAATAGTAATCTGGCACATATTAGGTGCTCAGAAAATATTACAAAAAGATTGAATATGTTCTTCCATTTTCTGCATAAATTGGTAAGTGAGGGGTGGAGTCCTCATTTCTAGGGCACTCTCTGGCCCACTCTCTTATCCTCCCAAATGGTGGCTACAACTGCAGGACAATCAACCCCTACCTCAAAGGATCAGGCGCTTGCTTTGCCATTTACACTCTGTGGGATATGAGAAGAAATAAGGGAGATACTTTAGTTGTATGCAGGGAGGCTGAACAAATGGTATGTGCATGTGTGTGTGTAAGGAAGACTTTAGTCAGGTTTCCATGCCCAATTTGAAGACTTATGCTTTTATGAGTAGGGTTTGGAATTTTAGTTTCTCTGCCTCTCCTCTAAACAGGGTAGGCCTTACCCACAAGCTCTTCTTCCTTCAGGCCTTATATCTTATCCTCTTTTCTCTTGGATGAACTCCTACTCATTCACCAAAGCCCCATTAAAATTGCCCTCATCTATGAGACCTTCCCCGATTGTCAAGGAGTTTGCCTGTCCCTTTGCTGTGATTCTACAACATCCTCTGTAGACACCAACTAGAGTCCCTATTAAATGGCATCCTATGTATTTCTCTTTTAGGGCAGGCATTGCATCAATTTTTTATATCAATATATTCTCCTGTATCAACAGCTTTGCCTGGCGCATAGTAATTGCTCAATGAATGAATCAATACTGTGCCTGGTAAAAGGCTCCACACAGTGTTGGACACATAGTGGGTCCAATACTCTTCATGACATGGAAGAAAGGGTTCATTAAGCACTAGAATCATCTGGACTGCAGATTTTCTCCAGTTTATTTTAATTCCATGAACAATTATTAAGCACCGACAGTGTGCCACACACTGTGCAAAGCTCTGGGGTCTGCAAAGACTACAGGTTCTACTGCTGAGGGGCCTACCTTTTATTTTTGTAAAAACAAAAACAAAAACAAAAACCCTTCCTAAGGTAAGGTCATACACCTGCCCCAGCTCAGAAACTTTTGACGGCTTTTTATTTCCCATGAGAAAAAGGAACATATTCAGGGTGATTAGCATACTGAAGATAACGGATAACATGCACTGCATGGTCGCGATTTCTGCTGGGCTCTGGCCAAATGATCTCTCTCTCTCTCCTCTCTCTCTCTCTGCTGGACTGTGGCCAAATGCTCTCTGCATTGTCATATTTTCTGCTCCCTCAAATTTTAAAAAGCAGTAACATTATTCCTATTTTATTGATGGGGAAACTGAGGCTCAGGGAGGTGAATCTCCTTGCTCAAAGTCACGCAGTTTTAACCGGAAGACGTAGGACTTAAAACCCAGATGTTTGAGCATTATGCCATCCTGCTTTTCCTCTCTTACTCTGTGGGCAAAAGTTTAAGAATAAAACGTTCTAATAACCAGAAAATGAAGGAAAGCAAGCAAACAAGCAAGCAAGCAAGAAAGAAAGGAAGAAGGAGAAAGAGAAAGAGAAAGAAGCAAGAACACAAGCAAGCAAGCAAAAAAGAAAGAGAAAGCGAAAGAGAAAAAGAAAGAGAGAAAAAGAAACAAGCAGGCAAGCAAGCAAGCAAGAATCAAATGAATCAGGTGGAGCTTCCGTGTGTGTGTGTCTCTCTCTGTCTGTGTGTGTGTGTGTGTGTGTGTGTGTGTGTGTGACAGAGAGAGAGAGAGACAGAGAGAGATAAGCAGAGTATCAACGGATTTTCCTTCTGGGAAATGCCTCAGAATTTGTCAGCATGTCCCCTCCATCCCTACCAAGATATTTTAGCAAGGCATTGAGTTAAGAACTCCTACTCATTCGCCAAAACCCAGCTAAAGTTGGCCTGGTCGAGCAAAGACAGAACCAAACTGGTTAGCGTAACAGTAAGCCTGACTCATGCAATCCTCTTGAGACTTCCTGCTAGAAGAGGCTGCCTCTTGTGAGATACCCTCCTGGGGTTACCTGGAGCTCCACCCCATAGCCAGTGTAGACTGTCACGTTGTATGTGCACTCCAGAAAGTTGTTGAGGGGCAGCGGTGGGTAGTCGCTGGAGTCAATGTACCCCTCAGGATTGGAGAAGCTCACACTGCAGAGAGCTGGAAGGAAGGACTTTAATTAGGACACCAAAGACAACTTGGATGTAAGCTCAAGCATGGACTGTGGGGTGGAATGGGGGCTTTAGGGGAACCTGCATTTTGCTGTTCCCATCTGTCCTTCTGCTGTTAATTCATCAGCTCCAGAATCGACATGATAATAAAAATAGCAATAATTGATGGGAATGATCGCTTACTATATCCTGCTAGGCACCATTTTAGCCAGTCAACAGGGGTGACCCCACTCATTCTCATAGGGACGGATAATATTTCATCCCCATTTTACAGGGAAGTAAACAAAAGCTCAGAGAGGGGCCGAGCTCAAACAGCAAGCAGGATTTGGACCCAGAGCTTACATGCTTTGAAGGGTGGCCATATTGCACTTGTCCAAAACCCATGTATGCTTGACAACTGGGGGTCCCTCTCCCATTTTAAAGATGGTAGAGAAAACTGGAACACAGAAGCACGTTTTGTCAAGTCTAGAAAACACATGCGATGCTAAAGGTAACGCACTTTGAAAAGGCTAGTGGCTTTGAAGCAGGTTAAATGAAGAATTCTGTTCCAAGATGAAAAGATTTTGAATCTTGTTCATTAGCTGTGTGACCTTTGGCAGGTTGTTTGGGGGATTCAGGGTTTCAGTTGTCTCATCTTTAAAATGGGGATGTTGGCTGAGTGTCCTGGCTCATGCCTGTAGTCCCAGTGCTTTGGGAGGCTGAGGTGGGAGGATTGCTTGAGCCCAGGAGTTCCCCAGCCTGGACAACAAGCAAGACCCCCTTTCTACAAAAAAAAAAAAATTAGCTGGACATCATGGTGCATGCTTGTAGTCCCAGCTACTAAAGAGGCGGAGGCAAGAGGATCACTTGAGCACAGGAGTTTGAGGCTGCAGTGAGCTATGATCGTGCCATGGCACTCCAGCCTGGGTGACAGATCAAGACCCTGTTGCTAAAACAACCCCCCAAAACAACAACAAACAAATGAAATGAGGCTGTTAATTCTGAGCCACAGGGCGAAGCTCATAGTCAATGCTCAACAGACAGTAACTGATGGTAGGGCTTGGGCTTCTTGAGCATAGTGAGTGCCTCATGGCTGTTTCAGGAGGGCTTCAGAAGTTGGGGGCTGCATACCTGGTGCCTGCTCGGTGGTGATGACCGTGGTGGTGATAATGGTGGAGGTAGTAGTCTCCTGGCTCTCTTCTGAGGCTGACCCAGTCAGCTCATTCTCACCTTTGTCCATCAGGGCCATGGGGCTGGTGTCCTCTTGTGGGGCCTCCTGGGCCATGTCAGGCCCAGGTTCCCCAGGTTCTGACCTCTGGGGGAGCGTGTGGGCCATATAGGGCTGCGAAGTGAAGGGGGAGATTTGCAGGGGTGCGGGTGTTGTGGGGACTGCACTCTCCTTTCGGTCCAGCCAGAGGGGCACTTCTGATGCCTCCTCGGAGGCCACGATAGGGTCCGGGTCCCCCGGTGGGCCAGGCTTCTCTGTGGAGGAGGAGAGGAGACCCAGGCCCTGGGACGCTGGCTGGGACCCCGCCCTTTGGACAGTGGCTGCGGAGGTGGCCTTGGGCCTCAGCTGCTTCCTGGCGGAGTTCACCTGCTTGAGCGAAGGCAGTTTCTTCTTGGGGGGCAACGCGTGCTTGGGGCGGGCCTCCTCTGGAAGCAGCGGTGACAGGGCTGGGGTGTCGTGATGTGCAGAGGGTACGGTCCCATCCAGCTCCAGCTCTCCCAGCACTTCCCCGGACTGTGAGGAACTGGGGGGTGCAGTTACCAGTCTCTCTTCGGGGTGCTCTTTGCCAGGACTGCCTCTCTCCAGGGCTCCTGAGGGCAGGAGGTAAGGACCCTCGGGAAGAGCGTCTTGGAAGAGGAGAAAAGACACCAATTAGTTTGGGGAGATTTAGGACCTTCACCTGCTGTCAGACTCTGAGGGTGGCCTCCTAAGGGCGGTGCCCAAGGCTCGTCAGGCTGGCCTCTAAACCAACTCCTTCTTTCTCTGTCCCTCCCTTCATTTCTTTTTTCTCCTCCTTCTCTCTCACCCTCTTCCTCTTCTTTCTTCCTTCTTTTCCTCCTACCCTCCCTCTCTCTCCTTCCTACCCTCCCTCTCTCTCCTTCCTTCCTTCCTTCTTCCTCCTTCCTCTTTTCTTTCTTTCTTCCTTCCTTCTTCCTCCTTCCTCTTTTCTCTCTCTTTCCTTCTTTCTTTCTTTCTTTCTTTCTTTCTTTCTTTCTTTCTTTCTTTCTTTCTTTCTTTCTTTCTTTCTTTCTTTCTTTCTTTTCTTCTTCCGTCCCTCCCTTCCTCCCTCCTTCCTTTCTTCTTCCATTTTTCTTTCTTCCTTCCTCCTTCATTTCCTTCCCTCATTCCTCCACTTCCTTCCTTCCTTCTTTTTCCTGAAGACTTGGGCTTGATCATGCCAGGACTGAGTTAAGCATTAGGAGTATAGAAACAAAAAGCACAGGGGTCTCACTGCCTGGTTGTATATGTACTGGGAAGGGGGATGGGAAAGTAGACACAATCATATTTGATATGATGAATGCTTGGAAAGAGAAAAGCTTGTGTGCTAGGAGGACAGAGAAGACAGGCCTCTAACCCCGTCTGCAGGACAGGCCTGCTGTGTACAGTTGGGCAGATTGCTCCCTGTACAAAGACATGCGGCGGCTAAGAGGTTGAGTGGAGATGGACACTAGGCCACACTCTCTTTTCCAAGCTGTGTGCTCTGGCTGGGCTTGTTAGGGGGAGCAAAGTTTTTTTTAAATTCAAGTTTTAATTTTAAGTTCTGGGGCACATGCGCAGGATGTGCAGGTTTGTTACATAGGTAAACATGTGCCATGGTGGTTTGCTGCACCCATCAACCCATTGCCTAGTTATGAAGCCCAGCATGCATTACCTATTTTTCCTAATGCTCTCCTTTCCCCCACCCCAACCCCCAACAGGCCCCAGTGTGTGCTATTCCCCTCCCTGTGTCCATGTGTTCTCATTGTTCAGCTCCCACTTGTGAGAACATGTGGTGTTTGGTTTTCTGTTCCTGCCTTAGTTTGCTAGGGATAACGTCTTCCAGCTCCATCCATGTCCCTGCAAAGGACATGATTTTGTTTGTCTTTATGGCTGCATAGTATTCCACGGTGTACATGTGCCACATTTTCTTTACCCAGTCTATCATTGATGGGCATTGGGTTGATTCCACATCTTTGCTATTGTGAATAGTGCAGCAATGAACATGGGCATACGTGTACCTTTGTAATAGAATGATTTATATTCTTTTGGGTATATACCCAGTAATGGGATTGCTGGGTCAAATGGTATTTCTGGTTCTAGATATCTGAGGAATCTCAGCACCGTCTTCCACAATGGTTGAATTAATTTATATTCCCACCAACAGTGTAAAAGCGGGGTTGGGGGAAGTAAATTTTAAACTGAAAGAGTGTAAGAGTGACCTTGTGGGAGACACGGAAATATTTTAGGATTCAGAATCACGAGGCAGATTCAGAACAGAGGCCTGTGTGAAGACCCACGGAGGTTTGGAGGCTGGGCAGAGGTGGGCACAAAAGAATTGGAAGGGGTTTTGGAGCACAAGTGGAGGGTACGGGGGATAAAGCTGGTATGATAGGGAGACAGGGGCCAGGCCCTGGAGGGCCTTGTATACCTTGCAAACTTCTTGTAATTCATTTTGTTTTTTCTTGAGACGGATCTCACGACGGCTGGTTGCAAACTCCTGGAATCAAGTGATCCTCCCACCTCGGTCCCCATCCTTACGATTTATTTTTGTCTTGAAGGTAAAACCATTTAGTCATTTTAAAGAAAGGCTGGCCCAGGCGGCTATCTGGAAGAATGGTGCTGGAAACCAGCATTGTTTGCTTTTTAAAGACCCAGTTCTGCCAATTGCTGGTTAACGACTTCACTCTCCGAGCCTCAGTTCCCTCAGCTGTCAAATGGGGCTATCATTTCCTGTTTCCTGGGGTTGCCATCATTCAGCGAGTTGATGTGTGCAAAGCACTTAGGACAGCGCCTCACCCATAGTGAGTGCTTAGCAAATGCCAGCTGCCGTCATGGTTTTTACTCTTGTCATTGCAATCACAGCCCCTCGGCAGGAAACTGGAGCAATCAGAACATCCCCGTGATGATGTCTAGATAGAGAGGAATTACATCACGGGGACAAAGGCCCTCAGACTGATAGCTGTCCTTGTCGATTTTCTGCAGAGAGACACTCGCTCAGCTACAGTCTCTAGGCCCTCCAGTGCTGTCATTTAAATTTATTTCAGCAGTCGTTGGAGAGGCTCATTTACTTTCATGGAGTTGGCGGCAGTGGCTTAATCTATATAGACTGCAACAGTTTGCAACTGGCATCAACAAATGTTCCTGTTGTGTAACATTGATTACCAGCCAGTGTTCCTTCCAGGCCGCCAGTGATGCTGGGCCAGGAGTGGGTATCTGGGAGCTGCGTGAGTGGATGGTATTAGGGCAGGTCAAGGTCATTCAGGCATCAGGCAGATTTCCTAGTCTAAGGTGGGGAGTAGTGAAGCTTCAGAGTTAGGGTTCAAATCCTGCCGGTTACAGTTACAAGCTGAGTGAGTCTGGGCAAGTCCTTGAAACTTACTGAGGTTCAGCAGCCTCTTCTGTATAATGTATAATATAATTCTATCTACCTTGTTGGATTAGACCAGACGTGGATCTGCCCCAAAGCAATGGCTTTTATGCTCACTGTTGCTTTTCTAAAATGATTGATGTTGACCATCTTTGTAGACAGTGGAGTGAAAAGAGGGGGAAGGGACAAAAAGAGGGGGAGGGGAGAGGTCAGGACACCCAGCTTCCAAGACCCAGCTGTGGTACAACACAAAGTACTTGGATACAACCAGGAGCTGGGGGACCTGGGTGGTGTCCTATCTTGGCCACTATTCACTAGCATGACTCTGCACGGGTCTCCTCTTCTCTCCATCTCCTCTATGTGTCAAAGGGGCAGCCAGACTGCATATGATGGAAGAGCCTTTCTAGTTCAGACATTGTTGGGTTTTTGAAATGACCAGGGAATTGACAATTGTTCTTAGAGCCATTTGTTAACCCTGCTAAATTGGGGAAGGTAACTGCTGCATCCCAACAGGGAGTTTTATTTATTTATTTATTTATTTTTTTGATTATCTGACCAGCCAGCTCTTTAACAAACATTACCCCTTGATTATAAGCAGGAATGAGAGAGAGAGAGACAGACAGAGAGAGAGGGGGAGAGAGAGCATGATTGGGAGCACACGTTGTGTCATCTGCACACAAGGAGGTGACCAAAAGCACATCAATTCACCTTATCCAAAATAACAGTGATATTTATAATGTTTTAGTTTTGATTGCTTTGTTGAGTGATGAAGAGGGCTTTGCATCCATTGCCTCGTTTTTAATTCTTTCTCAACCTTATCAGGCAGAAATTATTGTTCCTATTTTCTGAATGATCAAAGTGAGGTTTTGGGATGTTAAATCACTTTTTGAGGTCACACAGCAAAGCTGGGTTTCAAATCTCAGTTTTTCTGACCCCAAAGACCGTGCTACTAGCTCTCTTAAGAAATATGGGGTATTGGTGTCATTTGGCATCCTCCTCCTCAGTTTAAATCAGCCTCTTTCCTTTCCCCCTCATTTTGTTTGTCTCTGTTGGGTGGGCTAGAGTGTTTTTCTAATCTCCAACCCCACCCCTGCAGAATTCACACCCACCACATCTGAATCTCCAGGGCTGGGTCTTGGGAAGCTGATGATTGAAAAACTCCTCTGGTGACTTTTATTATCAGGGTTGTCAGGGAAGTTTGGGAACATGTGAACCCACCTGACTTACTACGTGTTCCTCATCTGTTTTGTCTTCTAAGTGCCTGAGGATGCAGGTAGCAGGAAACAAAGTATGGGTTTGTGCAGCAGGTGGTGACTCTTTGACTCTTTCAAGGCTTGTGATCTCCTCTAGCAATCCCAGTCCTCCAAGACCCACATACAGTCAAAGGAACAGAAGGACATGCAAGAAAACAGATTCCCTAATTGGCTCCCTCTTCACAGCTGCTGTTCTTACTCTCTGGGTCCCCCAGGGTACAAGGGTGCTAACCACAGCAGCTATAAAGCACTTTAGGAAGGAAACCCAGCTGGGTCTGGAGTCAGCCTTTTCCCACTGAAAACCTGACCATCAAGGAGAGTTTTGTATCCACCAGATAAATTCATCTCTCAGTCCCTACCATGCCCTTTTCCTTAATCATACACAGGCTTGGATCTTGCTAGCTGGCTCCAAACTTAAGGCCAAGTCCAACACAGATGATATGCATCTGTGGTCTGCAACATAGGCAGCCCACAGGCCTCATTCTTAGCCAGGATGTTGGCCAGATTAGTGCCGTGCAAAACCAAGTCCCATTGGGAATTAGCGAAAATTGTACTTCAGGGCCTCAGCAGGAAACTGGAGCAATCAGAATACCCCCATGAGGATGTCCAGATAGAGAAGAATTACATCATGGGGACAAAACTCCGTATCCAGCAACTTTATAACTTGCTCCAATAGCCTTGTTTTTCTTGGTGTCCGATGACCACTGAGTTAAATTAACTCATTTTTTTTTCAGACATTTAAAATTTTCAAACATGATAGTCACATGTATCTGATTCTTCCTTTATTACATACATACGGAGCTCTACTCAAATGCGGTAAATCAATCAATCAAAGTGTTGGGTGTTCACTTTCTCCTACGGTTGACACTCGACACAAGAGAGTGAACATTCTAAGATACGGCCCCTGCCCTCAAGGAGTCAGGAAAACAGACACACACTGATAATCCACTACAGAGATCGAACAGAAGAAATGGCGCTTTCCTTAAATGCACGCTGATGTTGCTTTTCCCCCCAGGGACACAGCCGT